AACACAAACATTAACATTAATATTTTAAAAAATGCATGCCATGCAAATAAAAAAAATAATAAATAAAAAAAAAAAAAAAAACCTAATCCCATGGAACTAATTTCCTAATACCATATCCATCTCTTCCATCTCAATCCTAACACCAAGGCCCATCATAATTCCATGGGATTATGAATCTCTTCATCTCCCAAAATAACACAACATATAGTGGGTCCCATCTCCATCTCAATCCCAATTCCATTTCTATCTCCCAAAACAAAAGGGGCCTAGTGTCTCGATGGTGGGGTCTCTTCCCATGGATTAGGTCAAGTCAGACTTGCAATTGGTTACTCCGGAGCCTGGGTTCACACGAATGCTGTGATGACACCACAAAACATTTTTTTTCCAGTTCAAAAAGAAGAAGAAAAAAACCTCTCATAATTTATACAACCCTTCGTTAACTATATATATATATATATATATTATTGATACTCTAAAGCACTTTTTTTAATTTAATTATGACAGATTAATCCGTTGATCAAAGTCTCTACATTTCATTAGAAATTTAGATGTTCGACTTTCCACACTTATAGACAATACAAATAACCTGTAAGACGATTCCAAACAAGAAAACTCAGCTAAAAAATAACAAGAAGGGTAATCGCTGCCCTTACAGTTATCAAAGAAAACCCACGCAATTACTGAAATAATAATATACTTAGAAATGCCCCAAGAAGAGCACATTAGATAGTTCTACCGAGAATACTCAAATTGCCTCCAGAACACAACTTAGATCGCATGTCAGCAATGATCCTAGAGGTCACTATTATATGTTGTAATTATTATTAATATAGTATTTCATCAGTTTGAAGTAGTTCTAGTTAATTTATGATATATCTCCCTAACAATTATCACAATTTGAAGAAGGGTCTTGCTAACAAGTATTTTTAAGGTATAAGTAAAAGACAAAAAATTTGAAGATATAAGACATTTTTTACTAAATTCAATATACTTTTAATGAAATCAATATATTTTTTTAATAGTTTTACATATTTTAAGACATTTTATACACATTTTTTTAATATTAAACAACGCATAAGAACACTCGTTAACATTTGCCTTTGAAGATATGAGTTAGGTAAATTTTGGAGACTCAAAGTATTAGAGTTTCTAAGCATATATTGATATTGTTTCTCTTTCAACCTTCTAAGATTAAACCTTTTTTGACTTGTACATGAGACCATGATGAAATGGGTACCATAAGCATCTTTTCATAATGCTCTCATTGAGTATAATTAGAACCATTACCAAAACTGACTATGAAATTACCAGAAGCTATTACTTTCGTCAAAAGTCATTGTTGGGAGAGGAAAAAAAATGATTATTGAAATGCAAGAACAATAGAGCTTAATTATGGATATATGTTAATTAGTTTATTACCACTACATCAATGTGAACAGTGGGATAATTCAATCATCATCACTTAACACACACACATACCTGCAATCCATCTTACAACAAGACTTAGAATTATTTAGAAAATAGTAATCTTAATTAAAGGGAAAGCTTAAGGTCTAAGCCGTCTTTGACCTCTTGATTGGGACCATTACTTGCTTCTTTGATATGATGAGAAGAAGAAAGCCATTGGAGGAGAGCTTCTGAACTGAATATTTTCCATGAAATCTTCGCGTTGGAAAGACGGATTCCACACTGCTTTTGGCTTCTCGTTCCCATCAACCACCCTCCTCTTCCTCTCATTGTTGTCGTTGTTCTTTGCAATCTTCTGCTTCTGCATAAGTATATGATTGCGAGCTTCGCGAATGCTCCTAATTAGGGCAAAGAACTCCTCCATCTTCTTCTCCTCATCCTCATCCTGCTTCTCCACTCCTCATCAGTATGATTATTACCATGCTCTTCATGGCATGTAATCTTTCTCTTTTTCATTATTGATGATCCTTCCATGTGATGTGAGTGAGATGTTGTGAAACTGCCAAAGCAAGAATTCGGAAACAGCTATGGAATGCACTTTCGTGGTTGCTTCTTGCAACACATACACTATGCTATATACAAGGTCACGGTCAGTTCAAAAAAAAAAAAAAAAAAAGAAAAAGTCACGGTCCTCAAGTGTTCGTAAAAATATTAAAAGTAATATTATAGGTAACAGTGATATCATATTTATTAGGTGACAAATTAATTGAAAAACCATAAAATAAATTAATTAGATAAGTTATTATATCTCTTACTAGTTCAACTAGAGTCCAGCTTGTCTTATATTTTAGATCACAAGTGGACCGTTTAGTCCGACCCATGAGTCTATTTTTGGATTTCATTTTAATAATCACCGAACAGTTCAATGTGCAGAACTCGTCGAGTACTATATTCCTGTAAATAATCACATTGATCGGATATCGATAGCTATTTGATCGGATCAAATATCTGTTAACCGTTTATTTTTTCACCGTCTTTTTTTATTAACAAATCTGTTCCATCAAATAACTATTGATATCCGATCAATGTGATTTTTCCACAGATATAGTACTCGACGAATTCTACATTGTGAACGGTTCGAATTATCAAAACAGGACCAAAAAATAACTCATAAACCAAACTAAACGATCCAATCTTGATCTCAAACCTGAAATA